GAACAGCTCACATGTACATGTCCCCGACCACTTACTACCGGTAGTACATTCTCATTTATAGTTCAAGTCGGTGGGAAAGCAGTACGATCATGTACAATGATTATGTCCATGTACACTGTACATGACAACTGTACTAGTAGTACTAGTTCAGTACTAGATCGAATATGTGCTTCCATAGCAACTTCTAAGTAAGTTCTAGGCTAAGCTTTCGCCATCATTCTATTTGGTCGTCGTCCCGTTTGAATGTGCGAAGTAAAATAAAAACCAACAACAACGTTGTACGCAACCAACTGATTGCTAAAGGGCATACATCGCGGTATTCGCGGTATTTTTCGAGACCAGACACAGTACAGTAGCATCATCGCAACACTCTTACCGGTCACTAGGCTAGCTAGTAGCTACACCAATCAAAAATTAATAATATGTAATGTTGTACACTATCAAGTGAGCAAACATCACCCTGGCCCTGGGTACAGTTTTGAAGTCATTTTTCCACGAGTTGGACTCCATCTAGGCATATGCGGATAATGCCGGCAGAAAAATTGGCAGAATTCGGTACTTTTTCTGGTAAGTTTCATGCATGTTCGGTATGTGGATACAGAAATGGAGCAGAATTCGAGGAATTGCCCGCCATACGGTTTGTATGGTTCTGCCATTTTCACTGCTTTTCGAGCAGAATCCGCACACCCCTAACTCCATCCCATTATCACACTTCACAGTCTTGGTCTATTCCCTTCTGATTCGTAAAGGACATTTTCGTTCCGCTAAATTCAATCTACAGACTACAGGACGTGTACATACATGTACATGTATGTGTCTCCGTTGCTCGCACCACTCCCTATTCCTCCTCTCCACTTCTTTGCTCAATGAATCTGCTCAATAATCTACCCCGAGATATACATGTACATGTAAGATCCATTCAGAACCCTTCCTTATTTTAACTTTCGTTATATTCGTTAGGGGGCACGAAATAGCTAAAGTTTGTGCCAAACTAAAACAAATTCTGAACGTTGGGGGTGACAGACCTGGACCAAAAACGAAATTTAGTACGTAACAAGCCTGCTGGTGGAGTGATCTAACGAAAGAATTCGTGAACGAAAATTTGTACTTATACAGTATTAATTTTAATATACAATGTGCTCCCTAGCAGTCAGCAATGTCGTTAGGTTGAGCACTCTTACCTTAGCGCGAACCCTTGCCGCTCGCCTTGTGCGACGCTCACTGGTCTTGGAGCATTTCGAGCACTCTTGGCGGGGTTTGCAGCTCTTTATAAAAATGCTTTGCTGCAAGTTCACGGAAACGTATTTCATTGCGAAGAGCTGCGCTTCGGTCCTCTGAGCTGTGCTGAGGAGCTCTAACAGAGCGAAACAGTTGCTGTCCACAGATTTGAGTAATATACAATGTACATGTACATGTACATATTGTACATGCACATATAATTCCAGTGGTTGCCCAAAGGGCCAAACCATCTTTTTATGACCTACATTGTACATGTACATGTACGTCTACTAAGCATGCTAGATTCTCGTAGACTCTGTGGGCAGTCCCCTTCCGTTAATCAGCGTGAGACAAACCTTCTGCGAGGCACGGAATCCAAGCGAAATACAATGTACATCAATTCGCGTGACGGTGGGGATACGGTGGCGATGGACAGCCTGGCATACTCAATGGCATACTATCCACCCTTCGTCCTTGTTTTGCCGGTTTGTGTGACAGTTTCCATGGTGCAGCAGCAGCATCCATGCCAATAGGTTCAATTATTTGTTATCAAACTGACCACCAGCAGCAAGTCTCTCACGTCTGAGTAAGACTAGCTACGATCCCGTCCGGCGAAGCAGATATCGCTGCATGCTGCTTATATTTAGCGGCGTGGCATCCTGGCACCTGTGCTATTTCTCTCGGTGACTCTGGCCGCACTCATGGCATCATGCGGTGTGGAGCAGCACCGATTAGCAGGCCGGACATTACACAGCGAACACAGCAGGCACAACCAGGGCTACAGAGCTGGCCAGTTTCCGACTGCCAGTCCGAGGTTCCTCTCCATCCCTTATTAGACACGCAAAAACACAGTATGTGCACTCTGCGACTTTTAAAGGACCATGGGAGACATGTTTAGCATGGATGTGGCACGGCATGGTTTCTACGTCACGCGGAGCATTGGTGTGTGCACGAGCAAACACAGCTCTCCGGACACAGGTGGTCCAGGACTTCTTCTGGCAAACTAACTGACTTCACTTCCTTTGTTACAATGATGTAGAATCTGCGTCCAGGATAGTCTGTGATGGTAGACTTCCAGTCTAGTAGTGTAACTGCGGTGCCAAGACGCGCTGTTCGCTACCGTCCCAAATGAGGCTGGACAGTACTTCCACTACAGTCCTGTACATGTATACGGACCAGAGACTAGCATGCAAATATATGCAATCAGTTCAGGCCCTACTGTGCCCTAAGTATAATAATAATTGTAGAGTTCTGTTTCAATGTTTGTTCTTTGTTGGTGCACACATCGTACAAGACACAAAGGAAGTCAGTGTGTGATACAGTGGAGTCCTAGTCCAGTGTCCCTGTCTTTTAAAAGTTGCAGACGCCATGGTCGTGATCTTGATGCCCTGGACGTCGGTGATGTTTGTTGAACTTACTTCATGTCTTTAAATGCAGAGACTCACGCACACGCTCGTGTGTGTGCGCGTATGTGTGTGTGTGTGTGTGTGTGTGTGTGTGTGTGTGTGCGTAAGATGTTAGCTCAAAGGACGTCCTTCGCATCTGGTAATGGTATAATAGTGGTAAATCGAAACACGAATCCTGGCTCGACACCAATGACACTTGCGTTCACACAACACTGCTAGTTCTATGCGTCGGAGGAAACCTGGCGTCAGACGCGGTGTGTGGTTGACAGCAAACTCTTTTTTACTGAGATAACGCCTAAGTGCTGTACGGGCATGACATTACTCAGTCTCCGAAGTAGCTGTTTCGACCAGAGCCTTCTATACTACTAGTACGTGATGTTGCCTGACGGATGATCTGAAGCGGAATGGTGGATGTTTTTCGCGAAAGTACAAAATCAATGTTATACTACTATAACTGAAGAAGCAGTAGAGTTGCCAAGTCGCTGTCGCCGTGTAGAGTCCATACACGTACTATCAGTGGTTGTGTACAGACTGACTGCGCAGGCAGTTTCAACTAGTAGTACGGACCAGTGGAGACCATGGGAGGGTGGAGGTCACACTCAAAGGCAGGATGATCGGACTCCTCTGATGGAAACGCCATGGAATGATCTGCCTCCTCTGTCTGGTTCATAGTTTTTGACCGTAGGGTGAGCTTCAATCTGTGTTATAAAACTAAAGTCGGGAATGGATGTGATCATGACGTCTAAGAAAATTTAATCCATTCCCCGAACATTAACTTTATGACACGGGTTGAAGCTCACCCTACTGTCAAAAACTATGAATCAGACAGCGGAGGCAGATCATTCCATGGCGTTTCCATCAGAAACGTCCGATCATTCTGCCTTGGAGGTTGACCTCCAGTCTCCAGTCTACCATGGTTTACACTGTACTTCGAAGGACCAGTACATACATGTAATCATTGTATGGACTATTGTACTGTAGTTGGAACTGCCCGCACAGTCTGTATACAGCCACGAATGGTACATAAATTTTGTTCTTGTACTGGGGAGTCCAAACCTACGCACAGTGAGTGAGCGACGGATACAACTCACAGGGAGGGCAGGTCAGACTGGCCGCGGAGGGAGGGCACAGGAGGAAAGGTGACAACCGCACGCACCCATCACAGCAGTCATCAGACCACACATTCTAGGTGAACAGGAGTTGGAGCGCCTGCGACAATCTTGGTTATGTTGAAAAGCAACGAGATTTCGGCGCGGCTAGACTGTATACTTCACGTGCCTGTCCGGTTCGAAGTCGGAGAGTTAGTGAGGCTGATCACAACTTCGACACAAGGTACAGCAGGCGCTCAGGCAAAGGCCACAACAAAAGACCGTGTCCCCTTGTCTAGACTCCACTGACTGTCATGTCACCAACTCAGCATACAACTTACAAGCTAGTACTAGTAGTAGTACAGGGTCAGTGTTGGGAAACGCACACACACGCTCCCGCGCATCACCATGATCACCCAAACACTGCGCCTGTGACACACTCACTCACACTGGCACACTGCCACAGGGACAGGGCGCAAAAAAGCAATGACTGTGCGAAAGCGTGCACTGTCACTTCGCGCAGCAACTCGTTTGCGTCATCACCTGGCTGAGTGCACTGGAAGCGACAGAACAAGACTCCAGTCCAGTCCAGTCTCGAAGTCCCCACCAGCACCGCAAGTCTTGTCTGTGGCCTCGTCCAGCGAGTACGAGTCCGAACCGCAGCGACCATGAATGGACACAAGCCCAGGCACTACTTGGCTCGCCCACGCACGCATGACAGTCTTGTGGTCCACCCACACACAAACAACTACTTCTCCAACTCTGGGACGATTACATGCCAGGACAAGGATCATGAGTACGCCGTGTCTGAACTGCGCGCCCAGCCACTAGCCATTTTTGCATTTTGCCACTCCGATCTGCACTATCGCCATCTCGCGGTTATACGGGTTAGTTGCCCAGTTTGGCTGTGCGTGTATTCCTGCCAAGTCTAGACTCCAGCCCATGCTCACACTTCGCTTTACCAGTGCTGAGCCTGGTGTGTGCGTACATAGACAGTCGCTCACTCTTGCCAGTCTTGGCTAGCTATCGCGCATCCGAGCTGGACCCGTGTGGAAGCTAGCGCATGCACGCACTGATGCAGAGACAGCCAAGTGTCACAAGACGATAGTGCTACGCGCCTAGACGGTGCGTGCTGGCTCCTGCCGCAGCACTGGGCATGGGCGACTCGGAGTTCAGTGGACTGGAGTCGATTGCATGCTGGGGTCCAACACTGGTCAACGGTCGGTGTGACGGTGGAGACGCGTGGGCACTGGCCCAGCATGATCCACACTGAGAACCGCAGCTATTTGACGGTGGAATCTTCTGCGTTTTGGTTCAGTTTCGTTTTTGTTTCATCACTCATCGGTCACTAAAAGACTATTGGAGACATCCAAATCTTGCCAAGAGATTCTCAACTCTTCTTCTTCGCTTCAACGCCTATATTCATCTGTTTCGGTAAGCTTGGGCCGATGTTAGTTCAATACTCTGATGTGTATTATTGTTCGCAATGGGCCAATGCATCATGTTGTCAACTATTACTTGTCACTTGAGAAGTCCGGCGTGATGACTACGATTGGCCAGTAGGGCCACAGCCGTGAATGAGCATTGAATTAGTTGTGTGTGAATCGCGCTCCTGGCCGTTTACTTGCTTTGTCGGCGGTTGAATGGAGTGATGTTTCTTCACTGCGCTCCGAGTGCGAACATTCGGACGTGATGGTGTATAATTGTTGTGTTGTCTGGAGAGACGAGATAAGGACGACGCGGAGTTGGAATACGCTGGAGCGCGCTTTGCATTTTTCTTCTCTCTCTCTCTCTTGTTGCATTGCTTGTGCGTGTTCTGTAAAAAATACAGTTTGCTTGTGCACCGTCCGGTGTATGCATAACTAGTTACGTTTTCCTTCTCGCTTGTAGCAAGCGTCTGATGCATCTTTCCTTTCCTTTTCCGCCTCTTTTCTCCCCTGCAGCTCACTGCGTGCCGCTATCTCACTCGGAGTGCCAGCAAGCTACAAGTAGTTTACCACCCGTGACGCACGTATTGGACATACCGAAGCCGGTCAAACCGCATTTGCTATACACCACTGTTTGAGCCGCCAGAAGCCCTACGTGTGTGCCCAGCAACGCCGTAACTACCAACAAAGTCGGAAAAATCCTGAAGAGGATTCTGCACTGCATTCTTACCTACGGATAAAGATCGCTTTCAACGTCGCAACTAGCAATGGATCCCAGTGTGAAGATCGAGATGCCGCACATCGCCAGCCACGACGACGCTGCTGATCAGCGGGCGGCAAGCGAACACGTCAAGCGGCCCATGAACGCCTTCATGGTCTGGGCGAAGACCGAGCGCCGCAAGTTGGCCATGAAGCTGCCGGGCATTCCCAACTCGGAAGTGAGCAAGCTGCTGGGCGATATGTGGAGAAGTTTGACCGACGAGGAGAAGGACAAATACCGTGGGCAGTCCGAGAAAATTCGCGTCCAGCACAAGAAAGACAATCCCGGATACCGCTACCATCCAAACAGACCTCGCAAGCAGCGCGCGCTGGACTCGGCCAGTCCAATGGCTACAAGTCTTATCCAGAGCAGCAAGCACCAGGCGCAGCGCTCCCTGACGCCAACCGCCAGCAATCCGCGACTAATGAGCATGCAGGGCTCTGAGCAGCAGCAGCACAGACCCCACTCGGCGCCCCCAGCGTACCAGCAGCAGGAGCAGCAGCACCATTCGAGCAATGCATCCTACAGCAGCAGCACCAGCAATGGCAGCCTGCGTGGCCTGTCCAGCGTTCCTGTGTCTCAGTGGTGGTCACCAGCCAGTACACCACCCACCTCCACATTCATGTCCAATGGGCAGACAGCAGCGGCCCGCAGCCCTGCAGCATTCTCCATGCACTACCAACAGGCCAACAGTAGCATCAGTATGCCACACAGCCCCGCCAGCAGATCTGGAACTTCTGGACAGCAGCAGCAGCAGGATCTAAGCCTGAGCAGTGGCGGCATGACTGCGCACAGTCCGTCATCGGCCTGGCTGAAGCAGAACTCTCCAGCTGACTCCCACTGCTCCTCCAGCAGCAAGCAGAGAGCCTCGCCGTGTCTGCTGCCCGACAACAGACATCAGAACCAGTCGCCTTTGATCGGCGCGGCTAGCGGCAACTCTGGCAGACTTAGTTCGTCCCTGAACAGTAGCTCTGCCTCCGTGGGCATCCCCACCGGTGGCAGTCTCTTGCCTACGTTCTACGACAAGAATCCAGTCTCCTACATGACCCCGGAGCAGCAGCAGCCCGTACGTACTGCCGACTTGCAGCCTCGCTTCACCGGCTTGGTCAGTACACCCAAGGCCACGGTGACCAGTGCTCAGGTATCGCCAACCTACGGCAGCGGCTCCGTAGCCGGTGGCATCGGGACTGACGCGCAACGCACCGACTCGATTCTGCAGTCGCCTGCGACTACCACTCTGTTCTACCCGGCGGCGTACCAGCCCACGGCTTACCTGCCGCAGCCGGCCACCTATAGCTGGCTGCTACCGGAGCAGATCGCCAACTCTGCACCTCACAATCAGATGTATCACCAGCAGTCCGTTGCCAGCTAGACAAGAGTACTGCCTGTGACAGCCCCGCATAATGAAGAAACTCAGGCATACTTGCCCATACACGACGACTGCGTCTCCTTCCCATCCTCAGTATTTCTCAACATCCCCCCCAAAAGAAGCAAAGAGTCAACAGCTTTATCCATCGCTCATTATTCTATTTTCGCTGGACAATTATCCAAACTTTCTACGTCTAGTGCGCTTGGCATGTTCTATGCGCGTCCTTTTTTCCTTCAAAGAGAGAACCATTTTTCTATATAAATTTGCGGAAACTATCTCAGCCCCCCACAGCTCATAGACTGCCTGCACTGCTGTACCATATGCATAGTCTCTTTAGCCTGTATATAACCTCTATTCTAGTGTAGCTCTGCTGTATCATACTCTCTCGCTCACTGCTCTATATAGCACCATTGCCACTGGTGCACAAGCAACTGAATTCTATATTCAACATCACCGCATTTCAGGCTGGGCTTTTGGCCGCCGTCGATTGAAACTTCCCAGAGGACAGTTGCTGCGCTATGTCTTTCTGCGGAAAGTATTGTACTTGACTATAAATGCAAAGAGAATAAAAAATTTCCACTGAGTTACCTATAACACTAAGTCCAATCTTGCTCCTGTGTTTGTTGGGTGGACATGTGTATCCAACACATGTTTGTGTCGTACACGACTAGCACTAGCACTAGCAGTCGAAAGTACAGTCATGAACTTCAGCCAGTGGCAGTAGGGCTACTAACTGTTACGGTAGTCACTTGGTCTTGGTGGGGGTTAGACATGAGGAATTTGCCATACAGGGGTGGTGAGCCCGCCTTTCGCAAGTAACTTAGTTTCGGCACCGCTCAGTCCTTAAAAAGTCTATGTACAAGGTGTGCTGACTAGCACTGTGTAGTAACAAAGTTATTATTTTGTTTGCCTGCCAGTTCTGTAGATAATGCCAAGAATCTGGTAGTGCCATTGTCTGAGAAATGCCCAGCGCGATGATTTCCGATTTTAACGGGAAGTCCCCCAGGCCCATTGTCCGAGAAATTGCCAAATTCATCATTTCCGACTTTGTGAGGAGTCACACAAATTTCACAATGTAGGACAACGAGCGGTGTTTTCGTATGATTTAGTAGTATTATCTGAAGCGCATGGATGTTAGCATTCTTTATGGGTCAGTGAGCGGTCTTATCGGAAAAATAGGATTGCAAGGAATGTTACAGAGAATTCCTGAAACTAGCACATGAACTAAACTATTACGTGTTGCGTGTAACCGTAGTAATTACCTCAACCAGTGTTCAGCAAGCCTGGCAGTCTGGCAGATGCCAGATGGGGCGAGCAGGGTGCGTCATTGCGGACGCAGACGCTTCATTCTGCATACGGGCAACAGCGATTTTTGCAACCATTATTAATTTCACTTGTTTGTGAAGGTTTCCTAGATCCTAGAGTTAGACTACATGTAGAGCATGGGATGGGATTGGGCGTATGCGAGTGTGTGTCCGTGTGTTGTTGGCAAGAAACACCTGCTACATGCGGCATTTGTACCCATCTTTAGCGCATATTCCCTTGGTTACGTCAGATGTTGAGCTGCCATGACGCAAACAATCTCAGGATCTGTATTTTTCTTAACAGCTGAAGTCATCAACCAACGACATTCTTGGCCAATTCCAACGCAATGACTACTAGTAAGTACTAGTATGTAATGTTTGTACCGCGTGCTCTACGTCAGTGACTGTATGCTGGCCACACATAGTAGTGACAGAGTATCCGAATATTGTTATAATTATCGTCATGGACATCTTGCTCAGAAACTACTCTAGCTCGCTAGTAGTAAGTAGTACAGTACATACTAGTACTACTAGTATGTGCATGGATTCCTTGGCTCGTTTTTGTGCGTACAAACTACAACGTGTCTAGTAGTTGTGTCAAATCCCGGACTCACAAAATCTACACTCCTACTCAAAGGTCGGCTGTGTGCACCTAGTGTACGGCCGGACTGACCCACGATGACGAAGTACATGCGTGTTTACGTCACGCAGAGCTATGTGTGTGTACGTGTGGACAGAGTTCAGCACCAACCCGGCCAGGCCCTTTTTATCGCGCAGTGTTTTGACGGGGTGAGTGAGTGGGCTGAAGACAGACGGGTGACAAGGCTGCCAATTACACTGTCCCGGTGTCAAGGGCATGCCAGTCATTGCCAGGTGACCACGAATCAGCTGAGTAATGGCGCAGTTTTGCCGTCCGGACGTGCGAACTGCGAAGTCGCCAAAGCAGCAGTACTGTAATAGTCCCTTGGGAGAAGGCCTAGCATGCATCAAAGCCCTTGCTCCTTTCGTGTTACGAACGTTTTCTTCTCTTTCGCAAGCGTTAGTGCAGCATGCACCGCGATTCTAAGATTTCTACCCGGATCCCCGAAGAAGCTGCCCGAAGTTAGGATTACCAACTGGCTAACTAAGTTCAGCTCTACTATTATACTAAGTAACATGTAAGTACTAACTCTGGTCGTGGCTGCACTCAGTGCTGCATTTCTTTGCTCTGTCAGCATGTCCGCATACCACCACACATAAGAAATGGACAAAGGTGAACATACGAAGAGTGGAATGATGTGCTGCTTTCCATACACGGGCATGCGCTGCAGAACGCAGGCAGAACAGCCCGCGAACAACACCAAGGCCATGTACAGTGTACCAAGCGGGCACAGCGTATCATCTCCCGATTTCCAAGTGGCCACTTGTGCTGCCATGCTCCGCTGAAAGTGAAGGGCTGGCGTAACCCCGTCTGAATGGCAAGGTGTCGCCGGAGACCTGCAGCCCTCTTCAGGCGCTGAATGGCAACCTTACTCCCACTCGCTCGGTCAGCAACTTTACGTTGCCACTTTGCCCTGTGTCGCTGCATTCGCCTGTATCTGAACTCGGCAGCCTATTGAGTATTGTTCCTAGATGAGTGATAGGATGGAAAAAATGTTGTCTCGGAAGCGAAAATATTATAAGATAATAGGGGCTCCAGTGCCATAAAGGACAATTTGGGACTTCCCGTGAGCTGCTTTGCCACATAAGCTACAGAACGTGCGACTAGAAATGAAATCTGATGGCAATCGCGCTTCGACGCGCAATTATTTTAACAAAGCTCTAGAGTGATTTGATTTCGCACGGCCGGATTTTGACCTTGATTTCCACAACGCAGTGCCACACGACGGGCTCAGAAGTACAGGTACATCTACATGACGCACATGTCGCCTACTATTGGTACACTGCTTGGCCGTACATCCTACCAACACGGCAACAGGCCACATTCGGTGGTACTAGTATATGTAGCTGCAAACGAAGTGCTCCGGGTCGAAAACAATAACATGACACATGTAGCTCATCATCATCATCATACCTACATTATACGTCGTCTCCCATCTCAATAAAGTGTAAGTAATTAATTGTACATGTACATGACTGTATCTGCTGGTAGAACTAACATTGAAAATCACGCACAGAGCGGGACAATGCGAACTACAGTGTACAATCATGTAGCGTTTAAAGTGCCGTTAGTTCGGCACATTATTATAGTAACCCCACTCACAAACAGAAACTACATGTACTGTACTGTGAAAAGCAAACACACATGCACACTCATGCACACTCATGCACACACACGCACAAACACACACACACACACACACGAGCGTAGTGACACACACACACACACGTACAGTAGATGTCCTGTTTTACCCCTGAAAGGTATCATCTAGTAAGTAGTATACATGTAGTTCACCGCGGATTACTGAATACACTCATGTTCCACGGCACCAATGTCGAAACAACTCTCGATTATCTCTCGTTCATTGATGCCGTCATCGTACAATCATGTACTGTACGTGATGAACAAAAAATTCAATTTAATCAAACTGTATATTATTATTATTATTATTAGACACAATCTCATAGCATGTGACAAGCATAGCTAATGCAGGGACAGAATCCCCTGAGACAATTACCAGCCACATTGTACCAGCATTGATTGACGACTCCCTAGGAGGGCCACCAGCCTGCTGCCACTACTACCGACTTTCATTACAAATGTGTATATGAAGTGTTGCTAACTATTGTTGTTGATTCGTGTCGCATACTGGATGAATTAGGGAGCATCTCATAAGTTCGCACTTTTTTTTGTAAACGTAACGCATTTCGAATAGACTTTACCCCCCTACCTCCCCCCACTATTTGAAAGTCTTATCGCACATTTTCAGTGTAGATCTACTGTACTGTACATGTCCATGCCATGGTATGCACAATCATGGACATGAATGTTTTGCTAGTGTGGAAGTGAATGACATACAGGAGTACCGCATCTACTGAGTACAAGTAAGTTACATACTTAGTTCAATCAATGACAGTCATGTACACGCACATAAACAGAGTTCCTCCACAACGACTGTACTGTCAAAGCTGGCCAGGTACACGGTTTGATCGGCCTGGTGTGACATTTGACACCTCTGAGTAGCCTGCATGCGTGTATTGTAGTGCAAGGGTTAGATCTACACCTAAAAGTAAAACACACCCGATACCCTGCTGTCTGAAGCGGTCTAGCACATCCACAGCACTGTATTGTACACATCCAGAAAATGTGCGAACTGTCCATTTTCTATCCGAAATGGGCGCTACCCCCCTACCCCCGTTTCGAAATGCGTTACGTTTAGAAACAAAATGCGAACTTATGAGATGCTAACCTGACTATACTTTCAGAAGAGGATCCTGGACTACTGTACAGTCATGTACAACGGTACTACATGACATTGTAGTAGTAGTAGTAGTAGTAGTACATGTAGTAGTAGTAGTAGTAGGGCAGAGCACTAGAAAAACTCTAGGTGAGAGAACAAAGTCATCTGTCATGACATTGTATTATTGACATGTTGCGGCGTTGTGTCGGAACAACAGCAAGCCTTGAATGAAACAAGCACATGTGCTGTCATGTACAATGACTATGATTGTACATGCATTGTACATGCATCATGATTGTACATGCAGTCAATCAACTGATCAATAATGATTTGGGCTTGTGGACATCCACTGCGACACAATGATCCACGGAATCAATGGAAACACAGAATAGAACTGTACTCAGTTGTACAAAATCCTCATGTTAGTACATGTCAAGTCTAATGACTGTATGTTCTCGTTCGGACGATCCGTTCCATTCTATTTTCTGCTTTCCCTGCCATACTGAACTCCACCCTTCCGCTACCACAGGCGCGCCTCCCGCTCGGCCAGGCCAGGGAAACAATCAACTCGGGGAAGGCGAATGAATGGCGCCTCTCCGCTTCGCAAGTGTTTCCCAAACCGCAGCGCAGAGTAATGAATTGCAATCGCTCGTCCGATTAATGACGAGGTGCCACGGCATTCAACCGCTGAAACACGGTGTGTCCCATTGATTCCCGCGCTTCGCAGAGAACAGAGAAAGGTGTCATAACATACAGTGTCACTACTGTACTAGTAGTACCCTGTAAATCAGTGCCTGTATCATGGTATACAGAGTAGATCTACTACTGTACTAGCATGTCGCAATACTGTACAACTATAACAGACAAGACTAGACCTAGCCACACAACAATGTCTGTTCCGAGTGGCCAGCACTTC